TAGCACTCGTGCAGCGCCCCTGGGAGCAGAGGTATCCAGCGACTGGAAGCAGACAGGTATGGAAGGCTCTGGCTCTGAAGATGATTGGCTGGCCGAGGTGAGGCAGCAAGTGGCCCAGTACGGGGATGATGTACCCATGGAGATACGCCGGGTGATCCGGCGCACATGGGACCGTGGTCTCTGCACCCAAGCTACAGGGAGTACGGACAGTCGGTCCTGCTCCCCAGCGGCAGAGTATTCTACCAAAGATGTATAAGCTCTGTGATAGCGAGACTGGGTATACTCAGGCCTTCCGGGTGTACAAGGGAAAGGATAGCCACCTTGACCCTCCAGGTTGCCCAGAACATATGGGAACCAGTGGCAAGATTGTCTGGGACCTGATATTCCCCCTGATGAACAAAGGGTACCACTTGTATACTGACAATTTTTATACAAGGGTCCCTTTGTTCAAGCTACTGTACTGTTTTGATACAGTAGCTTGCGGCACAATCAAAAAGAACAGCACAGGTTTCCCAAGACAACTTGCACGCACCCGGCTACGCAGGGGGGAGACCTCAGCTCTGCGCCAAGACAAGCTGTTGGCAATTAAGTACAGAAACAAGAAGGATGTGTACCTTCTTACCACCATCCACACTGAGGGGACTGTGGAGGTCCCTGTACGTGGCAGAGATGAGAGAACAAGGAGGCCAGTGTGCATCAAGGCCTATAACCGGCATATGGGTGGGGTTGATCTGGCAGATCAGCTGCTGCAGCCTTACCTTATTATACGAAAGACCTGGTACAAAAAGGTTGCAATCTACCTAATGCAGAGTGCAACCCACAACGCTTTCTTGTTGTTCAAAAAAGCAAACCCTGGGACGCAACTAAGATTTTTACAGTTTCAGCTCCAGATCATTTCGTGGATTCTATACCGTCATGCACCTGCTCCCAGGGCGGTGATGGGAGAGAGCAGAGTTGGGGCTACACATTTTATTTTTAAAATTTCCCCTACTGCAGCAAAGCAGAATCCCCAAAAAAGATGCAGGGTCCGTTCTAAGAGGGGGCGGAGAAAATATAGTGTATATCACTGTCCTGATTGCCCTGGACAGCCTGGACTCTGCATTGGAGACTGCTTCAAACGATACCACACGCTGGTTCATTTTTTATTTATTTTTTAACATTTGCCGTTCAGGTTTTTTTGGTGTCCTTTTTCTTTTTTTTTGTTTTATTACATTTACCCCATGCATGGGGGCATTGGTGTCCTTAGGAGGCCTTGCAGAAAACAACCTGGGGTGTTTTCTTGCAATAACCAACAACGGGCTCTCTTAAATCACAGTCAAAAAGCAATGTGTGTGTAAAAATGAGGATTGAACAGTTACCCCCACACACGTTGAACTTTTTAAAAAAAATTTTGTCTGGCTAAAAAAAAGTTGCATCAAAGCACTCCACATGCAATACCTCGGGGTGTCTACGTTTCAAGTATGCACCCGTTCGTAGCGATATATAAAACTGGGGTATGTGATAAGCCCCAAGCTAAAGATAGGCCTATCAGAAGAAATACTCTCAATTTCAACTCAAATTGCAAGTCATACAATTGTAACCGTACCTTCCCCAAATCCTGGCAAACCTATGCATGGGGGGGCATGGGTGTCCTAAGGAGGCCTTGCAGAAAACAACCCGGGTGTTTTCTTGCAATAACCAACAACGGGCTCTCCTAAATCACAGTCAAAAAGCAATGTGTGTGTGTAAAAATGAGGATTGAACAGATATCTCCACACACGTTCAACTTTTTTTGACTAAAATGATTGCATCTAAGGCATCAAAACACTCCATATACAATACCGAGGGGTGTCAACTTTTCAAATATATGCACGCTCATGGCAATAAAATACATTGGGATATCTGACAAGGCCCCCAAAAGGAAGATAGGCAAACAAGATATGTAAAATTTGAAAAACACATATCAGACATTTTGCTTTGCACCCCCCAGTGAACCCGACACACGTATGCATGGGTGGTATCGCTGTACTCGGGAGATGTTGCCAAGCACATATTGGAATGTCCTTTGGCAGTAACATCTAACAGGAGCTTAGAATCTATGCCAAAGTAGAATGTGAGTGAAAAATAACACCACAAAAACGTTGGTAGACTGGTGGTAGAATTAGTGCATGTAAAGTGTTGAAATGCCACCATGTAAAAAGTGCCCTAAGGTGTGTACTTTTCAAAAATATACGGTTTGACGGGGGTGAATTACATTGGCCGGCTTCAGAAATGTTCCAACTGGGACATGGGTGAATACTGGCCAGCTGTGTTTTATTTTTCCATTTTTCATCATATTTAACTTTTTTTTTTTCTAGTAAATTATATGATATGATGAAAATAATGGTATCTTTAGAATAAACATTTAATAGCGAGAAAAATTTTATAATATGTATGGGTAGAGTAAATGTGTAAGAGGCAAATTACATCTAAACACAACCACTGAAGAAATGTAAGAGCCCTGGTCCTTAATGGTGAGAAAATTGAAAAATGGACTGGTAACTAAGGGGTTACGCTGAATACAGTAAGGTAGACACTATATGTTAGGTCTTGGTTTTTTATTTCCTACCACATTTTCTATGATTTAAAGTGCAACACGGAATCTGATGGCGCTATATAAATAATAATTAATAACAGTCTTACAAAAACAGCACTATACAAATAATAAAATGTCATCCACTCAGTGCTTTTTATTTTTTTGTACCTCATAAATGCTAGATAAAGTGGCTCATCTCTCCATTGCCACATCTTGCAATGTAGCTATGGATATTAGGCTTGTAGACTTTACTTTCACACTGGTCTGATGTGGTTTGAAATTATAATGCTGACTAATTCACTCTAAATCTGGTCTGTTTACTAGACAAGAGCATGGTTGAAAAAAATTGTTTCCGTTTTGTTCCAATTCGTCAATTTTCTAATTTCAGATCGTCCAAAATTCTGCTTAACTGAAACTGAATTTGGACGCCATTATTCCAAATTAGGTCACTGTTTAGTAGATAGCTCCCTAATTTGGTGAACTGGTAATCCCACACAAGGGTACTAAATTAGGGGCTTATCTATTAAGCAAATGAAACTCCAAAATTAAGAAAATGGCTTTTATTCTTAATTTTGACCTTTCAGCTGTTAATCAGATAGCTGCCTTATTTGGTATCTCACATTAGGTAGCTATTTACAAAATTGCTGCCTGAAAGAAAAAAATAAAACTTTAATTTCTTTTAGCTGTTTCAAAGATAGCTCCCTAATTTATCCTGTGTATATCACATACATTCTATATGCATACTATGTGTAGCACCTATATTCATTGCCTCCCTAAATATAGTAAAATTGTACTTTCATTCAAGTCTGCAGCTGCTGCCTCTAACCTGCCCGCTGACATCATCAGAAGTGGTGGTCTGAGCCAATCACAGTGCTTCTGCACAGGATTGGCTGAGACTGACAGAGGCAGATCAGGGGCAGAGCCAGCACAAGTCAAACACAGCCCTGGCCAATCAGCATCTCCTCATAGAGATATATTGAATCAATGCATCTCTATGAGGAAAGTTCAGTGTCTGCATGCAGCGGGTGGAGACACAGAATGGCAGTGCTGCACAGTGTGCAACACTGCCCCAGGAGGCAACTCTAATAGCCATCTGAGGAGTGGCCAGTGGAGTTATCACTAGGCTGTAATGTAAACACTGTGTTTTCTCTGAAAAGACTGTTTAGTGCAAAAAGCCAGAAGGGAATGATTATACTCACCAGAACAAATATAATAAACTTAGTTGTTCTGGTTACTATAGTGTCCCTTTAAGGATACCAAATTAGTGAGCTTTCTACTATACAACTGAAAGGTCTAAATTAGAACTGGGGAAACATTTTTTTCTTTATTTTGCGGTTTAAAAGTCCTAATTTGCCATCTGTATGAAAATGAATGGACCCGAAAAATGTTAGATCTATTCATTCATGCTTGTTTCACCTACTGTTCTATTATGTAAATCATGATTTGCTAGAATTCAGTATCTGTTTTGTTTATCTGTTGTACAGCGATGCAGAGAATATGACGGCGCTATATGAATTGTTGTAACGGTTTTTGTAATGTTTCTGAATTCGCCCAAAATTAATCCACATGTCTGTTTACCAAAGTAACTCCAAACCTAATAAAAATCCCCCACCTTTAAATTGCAAGTAGAGAGCTAAACATTTTAGTCCCTGGCAGAATGATCGAACCATATTTCAGGTGAATAAGGTGTATAAATGCAGGTAAATAAGAAAGGGAGTGGATGTTGTCACAGCACCAACTTTAATAAGAACACTGTATTATAAGATGTTAAAATCCAATGATCCCATTCTCAGAACTTATACCTGGTCCCTTCTGCTCCCGTGCTTTAACTTGTACAAATACCGGCACCAGTTTCAATATACAAATACAGCGTTATACACTGGGAATTAAATAGCAAACTGCAGTGAACTGGAAATGGAATGGCAAAGTGTTGGCTAAAATACTCCAATGCAATCACAGCTGGCATGTTATTGCTCACATTCTGCCATTTGGTTTTGAGTTCATTACAAAATGTGGTTACGTAAATAACCTGACTCTACACAGAGAGGCAGGATATCAGTTCTGAGACATAAATCTGATAACGTATTATCTCCCACATACGTTAATGGCTACCTGATAAATCACATAAAATACTGTAACAATAAAACAAAAGTTAAAAATGTTATTTGTTATTTATTAGCAAAAGGATTTTTCTTTACACAAAATAAACATGTACTGCAAGAGTAGAAACACACAGTTTTGCAGTCTACATCCATATCACTTGCACACATGGAGGCACAGTACACACAATCACGCAGCTCAGCCATACATCTGTACACAAACACACTCAGACAACCAAGGCCTACATCCACAGACGTACACAACCCAGGGATAAACACACACATACAACAGAGCTGAACAAACCCTAGGGCTACACGCAGAGACACACAAACTATAAGGCTATCTGTCATAAACAAGAGCTCTCTGTAGTCGGTGGGGGAGATGGCTGCGGTGTCTTGCTTTCTCCAGCAGGTGGTAGTGAAACGACAATATATTTCTGCATGCCGGCTGTTCCTCCTGCTGCAGTGCTACCCACACCAGAACTCTGACCTCCTGAAACAAGCTTCACAATTGGTTGAACTCCTGGGGGGCAGGAAGCAGAGGTAGCAGAACTGCTGGATGGGGTGAAAACCTAATGGAATAAAATAAGGAGGTCAAAGGCATTGTAAATACACAGCATGAACTCAGATTTATAAAGGCTAGATAGCTTAGAGAGCAAAATATGGTTTGAGAGAGCAAAACCTGACAGTATGGGCAGAAAAGAAAAATAAAAAGCATAGAGAGGCACAAGCATTACCTGGGTCCCAGTACTTCCAGCTGATGAAACCACAATGTATTTTGTAGGTGGAGGGGAAGGCTGTGTTGGCGTTGCAGGACGAGCGCTCACTAGGGTCTGGACTGGCAGAGTCAGGGAGCCGGGTACCTTTATGATACCAGAGGGGCGAGTTGAGGGAGTAATGGCACCAGAAGGCTGGGAAAGGGTAAGTGTGGGTCGAGGCTGATATGCAGAGGACAAAATAGAAAAAGAATGGAAGGAGAATAAAAACAAAAAAAATGTGATCAAACGGCTGTGTCTGTGTTACTTAAGCATTTACTGCACAAATACAATACACTCTTAAATCCTACATTTGCACGTAAAACTGATATATTTGTGGGATTTAAAAAAATATATATATTACTCCCCCCCCCCACATGGTTTTGCCACATATTAACTACAGTCAAAGAAAAGTATGTAAAAGTAGATTAATTTGTCCTGATTTTGGTAACACGTGTTTATGAAAATGAATGATTTCTTGTTTCAAAGCAAATAATTTAAAATGATATGCTATGCTAAATATAGATTTAATAGTCATTTATTCCAACTCTCTAAAATATATGTTGTCATACCAAAATAGTTATTCTAGGGCTTTTTCCACACATCAATTTTATCACTAGTGTCTGCCAAAACTTGTTTGTTTGTTTTTTTACACAAACAGGCAGGACATAGCATTTTCACAAAAATAAGTCCTATGCTCAAACTCCCATGACCATAGTACACCTCATTCCCAAAACACACAATAAAAACCAAAGAAACAATAGAGTGCCGTTCAGTGTCTCCACGTTCTGCATGGGAACCCTGAATTTTCCTCATAAAGATGCATTGATTCAATGCACCTCTATGAAGAAGTGCTGATTGCCAAAACGGTGTTTAGCCCCGACCACATCCCTCCACCTAGTCGATTTTTGCCAATCGAATGGATTGGCTGAAAATCTGCAAATCTGATGTCATCAAGGAGGCGGATCGGGGCAGGGCCGCGCTGGAAATAAGGTGAGTTTTCATTTCTTTTAAGGGGGCTGATGAGGGTCAAGCCACCTAAATGGTGGGTTTAACACTATAGGGTCAGGAATACATGTTTGTGTTCCTGACCCTATAGTGTTCCTTTAAGTTACAAATGTTAGATTCCAGTATATTAATTAAGGAGAGTGGGGCAGCTTTTACAGTGAGTGAAAGACCTATTCACAATCAATTTGTCCCCACTGCAGACAGAAATGCATTCCCTTAGGGTATCCCTAGATGGCACTCACTACCATCAGCAAACTCTACTGAACTGCACAGGACAACGTAAGCAACATTTTTTAACTTTGTACTTGCAAAATGCATCTGGTAAGTGTGTGACAGTCAGTTTGACTCTACTAAGCTATCACGCCCTACGATGAGAGCCAGAACACATCTAGCTTACCTGTGTGACAGTCAGTGTGGTTCTATTAACCTGTGGTCCCTGGAATGCACTCTGAGCTCTTGCTTTCATTACATGAGTGCATAGAGTGGGCCCCAGGAACCCATAATCTGTGCGATACGTCTCTGGAGAATCTGGAGGGGTGCGAAGTTTCACCAGAACAGGGGCACAGTGTTTCTGTGAGGAGGGAGAAAAAAAAAATAACGCTGACCATACTACAAAAAACACGAAAATAATACCACTACTTCTTCTACTACAATTAATTATACTACACAATAAATAAAATTGCACAATAAATGCTACTATACACACACAGGCCCAATTATTTGGGAGGTAGTGGGGGGGTAATCAGAGGGATGGGATTATTAGAAAAAAAATTAAAAAGCAACATATAACTGTAAACGGAGATGAGCTGCATCCTGCAAGGGAAGAATGCCTGTGACCAGACAACAGATGTTACTTTTTTCACAGAATTAATATTAGTTAGACCGGAACATAGTGGAGAACATCTAAGGAAATTGCACAATTTTAAGTCAGTGAACAAAAGCAGAGCTGGAGATTTTTCCCCATTTTGGGTACATTTTCAATTCCTTAGCATTTCTCCACGATTCCCATTTTAAAAAACAGCATAAAACAACTTTTACCTATTATATCAGTAAGCTATACAATAAAGTTACAAAAGTGCCATACAAGATGCAGTCTCCACAAGTTACTCATCATGGAAACAGAACCCATACATTACCAGCAGCAAGCTTTGTACGTGGTCCGCTCCAATCTTATCAATGTTGGATATCACCGGTCCCTCCAACACTGCACGGAGTCGTTCTCCTTCCAATAACAACCGCGGCACAATCAGCGTTTTCACCACCTGATGTAGAAAGAAGCATCTTCATTATAACATCGTCAGGAGATATATTCCCCGAATTATAACTGAGGGAAGCGAGGGGGAAGCGAGACTAACGATAGTAAACTTACATCTGGCCCAAGCTCAGCGAGGCCTGCAATGGATCCATAACGCGTGGTCCAAGGAGTGCGGTCATCTACCCAGCTCTACGAAAGAATAGTGTCAGGAAGAACTTTAACGTATTATGTTATAGTAATCTAGTGGCTCTGATAACAATGAAATAAAGGACTATACTTTGTGCTGGTGGCCTTATTTGTAATGAAATCCGATTAGCAAAATATAGGCAAAAATTTTGATTTGGAACAATTCTCCAATATCGCTGTAGTCCCAGTCTAAATGTTGCAAGTTAAAGGGACACTATAGGCATCAAAACTACTTTAGCTTAGTGAAGTAGTTTTGGTGTACGGATAGCTTTGATCAGGGTTAATATGTGGCTGTATATGTAAGTAGAGCATCCCTCACTGAAAACAGAGGCCAACATCTTTTCGTTTTTGATTTTGTCATTTAGATTTATTTTTATTTGTGATTCCACGGTAGCGTTCTGTGCATCTCTAAGCTGCTGGAGCTTACCTTAGTGAATGTCTTGGTTATCCTGGACTGGATGTTATTAGTGGTGGTGCTGAAGTTTTTACAGATCTGTGCTATTAGTCGCGCTGCAAAGTCCCTCAAGGCCCAGTGATTGTCCACATCTGGGCGAAGGCACAGCTGTCGACTCACAATACAAGTCATCACCGCTGGAATTAGCTCATGCAGCTGGAAAAGCAAAATCACGATCAAAAACATTAAACCGATGTAAACTAGAAAGTATTCTTTTATGACCAATAGACAGAAAGACAATTGAACCATGTGTGGAGGCTACACTTTTGATAAGGTTCGAAACTTACGTATTTCTCCAAGTAGAGGGTGGGGTTGTCCATCAAAGCTTTCACCATCCGCATGAGGTAAATGAGCAGAGCCAAGTTATTCTGGACAACATTTACACGCACCTGATAGAAGATGAGGAGAAACATGAGGAATGGACGTGCAGACCTACCACTACATACAGACAATGACTATCATGGAAAACACTCTCCCTTGTTAATTTAACTTTTATGATAATTTGGCTGGTCAACATAAGGATTTCCTATAACAATATTAGATGAGGGTGGTAGGATTCCTTTAGTCATTATGATACAGCTAATCATTTGTGAAATGGGATGCTCTGGAGAAACCCCACACTAATACGAAAACATGATTATAAGGTGTATAAAAGGAAATATAAACAAACATGGAAGTCAGAGGTGCATTCATTCTAATTAATTTAGACACAATAATAAGATTTGAATCCCATAAACGTTTCTTGCTAGTTACCCCTTCAGATATAAACGTGCTAAATCGTGGCAGCATTTGGTACAAGCCAGGGTCAGTTGCGATGCTCTGCAGTGCTTCCTATAAAAACAAGAAGAATGAAAAGTACAAGGAATGGCACTATAGGAACATATAGATAAGCAAGTTTAACCGTATAGAATCGTACCGCTCTTTTCGCTTCACAGGACCCAACACAAGCTTCTGTAATTTCCTTATAATACAGCTGCTGTTCCACAGACAACTCGTGGATACTGCGAGGCTTCAGTTTCAGTGGTGCTCCTTCTAGAATGTTGGACTTTTTATCCTTTCCTGGTATAATAAAACAAAAACCCACAAATCAATGTTCAGTCTGACTCTCAGATACAACCTTCACACGTTCGCAGCTGTAGACTTTGACACTGACCTTTGCCCTCCACTGCGTTTGCACCTTGACCTTTTCCCTTTATACCACCCTCCTCCTGTCCAGGCTTCACGACCTTCAGGGGTTCTGTGGCTTCTACCTTCTGCTGCTCCTTGGGAACTGGAATGCAAGGAAGAGGTTAGTAAGAGCAATAAAAGCCACAAAAAGACAGAATAGAAATGAGGAATTAAAGAGAAAATAAAACCAAAAAATATATAAGCATATTGCATATGAATGAAAGAAAACAAAATAAAACTAGTGTTTGGAAATTTGAAGAAACAAATAATTTTAGGATCCTTGCCTTACAGTTCACTGTAGTACCTAGACTCAGAGTTGACTGCCTCGTTCCCTCAATTTAAGAATAGTTTAATGTAAACTTGCCCACACCAAGGGACAGCCCCCACCTCTTCATTATCAATGTAAATCCTGCCAATTTGGACAACAGGTAACTGATTAGCTGTTTGCCCAGCACTCCCTGACATCTCCAGCATGACGGAGAGGTTATTGGAAAGTATTCTGGGACCACATGCCAGTGGTATTCTAATCTCCTTTGGTGTGATTAGGTCCATGTGTGGCCAAGGTAGTAAGAGCTTAATAAAGGCTGTGTTAGGAGCCGAAACGTTGCTGGCCTTCATCGGATATATATTCCTGCACTTGACACCCGAGCCCGGTCTTTTCAATAAGTAAATGAAGTAGAATGAAAAAGAATGAATAAGGAGAGGCATTGGGTTGAGGTAAATGCTTACCTGGTGGAGGGTTTTCCGGTATAGCTGGTTGAACACCTTCAATGCTTAACCAATGAGCTGCAATAAAGACGTGTATGAGTGATGGGAAAGCAAAACAAACATTTTCATAGATGTATTTGTAATCTTCAGTCTCAACTGGAGAAATTAACTTTCTGCATGGTTATCTTCACACAGAACTTCTCATGTACACTGGTTTGGTCTAAAATGTACAGCTCCAGTTTAGGGAATAATTCTGTATTTGTGCCTATTCAGAGTATATAAACCACAGCAGGGCAATCGTACCTTTCAGAGAAACATCAAGAGGTACACGTGGTAATGGGGTGCTGATGATATCACTGAGATCAACTTCCTTCTCTTCATAGAAATGAAGTTCCCGTCCACCTCCACTAGCGTATCGGAATGGCAGAAACTCCTTAGCGTGGAAACCATATATAGGCTACAGAACAAAGAGAAATATTAAGCATGTATGTAAAAATGTGCACATCGCTGGGCCTTGCACAAGGCTACAATATAAGGCCTTACTGATGTATAATTTTTGCAGTGAATATTTTAGAAAGAGGCAAAGTAAATGAGAGCAGTGAAAATCTAATTCTGCCACAAACACAATTTGGAATCAACGCAACAAACATTTCTAATCTTAAATTATTTCACTTTAAGATTATGTGTCCCTTTAAAATTACTGTTATTATGTTTCATGTTTCAGCCCCTTCACAGAGCTATCTAATTTTCTGGCATGTCGGCCAGGTGTAGCCCCATCAATACCTCAACGTTTTTCAATTTCAGGGCAGAATCTATGTCGTTGGGAGTGAGTTTCTGTCGCTTTCCAACATGCATGAACTTCAGAGCATCCTAAGGAGTTTGAAGCAAAGAAAGGTACAGAATAAGCATTGACAGGACATAGAAATTTACGTAAATGACAACTTATAGCCATCGGGTTGTGACTTCCGACCTGAGTAACCTCCTTGATCCTGAAGCTGACTTCCTGTGTGAGAAGCTGACAGGTCTCCTCTGAAATTGATGACACTCCCATGGATTCTGCAATCACCTTCATGGATTCACTTGGGAGGAGAGCATTACCGATCTTCTTTCCCTCCGCCATGACCATAGAGATCGTACAGAGAGCCTAAGATTAATTGTGAATAAAGCAATATTAATACAGGTCTGGAAATTTAGCTGTGGCAAGTAGAAGGTCACACCTTGTTAGTCTGCCATGCACCCTCAGGCATGCATTGCTGACCTTTATGGCCTGGCTAATAATGTACAGTGCTTCAAAGTACTCCGATACAACCCAGGTGTGATGGGAAAGAAAACAATTAAAAAAATATGAATACCTGGCATGGATTGCCAGCAGTTGACGAACACATAATTCTTTGTCAGTTGCTAGTCACTTGATGTAGGATGGCATATGTTTATTGTGATCTATATAGAATCATCCCAGTAGTTGGGGCAATTATTCAATACATTAAAATGACTCTCCAGGCTGGAGTTATGCTAGTCAATCCTAGCTCTCGTTTATAGTGAGTGTTTGCACCTCCTCCTCCCCCCCCAAAAAAAAAACCTCGCTCAGCAAGAGATTACAACATTTGTGATTGCCAACATCAGAAAATGTTACAGATTGGTTTGATATACCCCTATAATTAAGACAAGTTTAAGTTAGTCTAGTTGTATTCAAATATTTAGTTTATGTTCAGATTGTATTTACTTTATTTAACCATTTGCCCCAAGGCATCCTGTGCTGCCATTGGGAAGATAATGTTAAGATCTGATTCATCTGCAAAAGGCAGGTGGTGTGGTTCTAATCCCCTCTTTTGAATGTGTTACTCCTTTTTGTTTATTTTATCCCCAATTTTCCCCTTGTGGGTCTCTTAATTTCTTCTTGTCCCTATGTGTCTGTCTTACATCCTCACCCCCTCTGTGTGTCTTTTCCCTTGCCCTAACTCCTCTGTGTGTCTTAATCTCCCTTTCCCCCAGCTTCACTGTCTCTCCCCTTCTGAGCCCCTCTGTATGTCTATTTGCCCCCTCCAGCTCTTCTGTGTGCCTCATTGCCCACCAGCCCCTTTATATAAATCTTTGTCATCCTCCAAAGCCCCTCTGTATATATCTTTATCGTCCCCCAGCCTTTCTGTGTGCCTCATTGCCCACCAGCACCATATAAATTTTTGTCGTCGTCCCCAAGCCCCTCTGTATATATCTTTATCATCCCCCAGCCCTTTGCGTGTCTCAATGCCCGCCCCACTTTCGTGTTTGCGTACCTCCACATAGTGCGTCCGCATTAATGGCTGTTCAGGGTCTTCTATTTCTTCAACCAGGTCTGACAGGAAGCTGCTTGTTGCTCCCAATCAGCACTTCCTGTCAGCCTGGATAGAAGATACAGAAGATGGTCTGCGCGGCCACACTACAAGAAGTGACTGTCATGAGGGGGAGTTCTGTACGCTTCCTTCCTGATGGACACCTGAACATTGCAGTGGTCTGTGCTGCCTTATGGTTGCACCAGCCCTGGCCAGAAGTAATGGTTCCCTATAATGAAGCAAACTGTTTAATAACGTTTGCCCTCTTACCTGGGTTCCTGTCAGGCTCCAAAGTTCCTCGACTTGATGGGTGATGCATTTCTGGCTTATGCAGCATGGCTGAATGGCATTATGTGCATGAAAATTTGCACAGAATTGCCATTAGCCAGCACGTAATTATGTTTACACCTCCAGCAGCCAAGGGGTTAAACTCTGGTCCCATGTAAGTGCCACACCATTCTGAAATGACTCCTTATTGTGGGATAGTCCCAAGGCACTGTAGTGGGTATGGTGCATGAAGTGCCTCTTTAAACAACCCTCAGCTTGTGATGAAACTACTAATGATTCCACTTCAGATTTTATTTATAAGTATCTGTGGGAAGGTCCATTGGAAGTATCAGTGTTTGGACAGCAGATGCTGAAACAGAAAGATGTCTCTCATAATGGATGTTTTCTTGCAAATAATGTTATGGTGCAGCATAGGTTATTTTATGGCACACAATAATCCTTTACTTTTAGTAATTGTTTCCAGTCTATTGCACCAGTAATGTGCGTCAAGAATCTTGACCGCTGACAAAAGAAACACTAAATGGAGAGCATGGCTATTTGTACACAAACACTTAATTTGATTATGCAGTGTAACTAGTAACCTGCAATGAATGATTAGATAATCTCTGCAAAGGATTGATAAGAATTGAACAGGCCAGTGGTCTCACTCAGTTAATAGCTTTTGTAAAGTTTGAGTAATAGTCTTATTTATAAAACAAGTTAGATTTATTTATGGAAAAATATATTCCTCTGCATTTGATAGACAAATCTACAGAAATATGCTTAAAGGAACTCTCCAGTGCCAAGAAAACATATCTGTTTTCCTGGCCCTGCTTAATCCTGCAGTGCCCATCTCCCTCCCAACCCCCATCCTATGTTGCTGAAGGGGTTAAAACCCCTTCAGTGACTTACCTGAGTCCAGCGCTGGGTCAGGCTAAGCCTACTCTCCTCCCCCGCCATCAGCTGGCGGGGGAGACTTAATGCGCATGCGCAGCAATGGTAGACCTCCCCATAGGAAAGCATTATTCAATGCTTTCCTATGGGCATTCCGGCGGCGCTGGAGGTCCTCATGCATAGTGTCAGGATGTCCAGCGTAATTTAAAACACTTTTCATGTTTTAAGAACCCAAAAGTCCCTCTAGTGGCTGTCTGATAGACCGCCACTAGAGGAGGACTTAACCCTGCAAGGCAATTATTGCAGTTTATAAAAACTGCAATAATTAAGCTTGCAGGGTTAAGGGTGGTGGGAGTTGGCACCCAGACCACTCCAATGGGCAGAAGTAGTCTGGGTGCCTGGAGTGTCCCTTTGATTGCAGCATAGACATTCTGGCTAAGGAGTAACGAAAATAAATCTGATTTATCTTTTACCTAAATATTTATGCTTTAATTATTGTGGTATAATGTTTCCTACTATGAAGTAAAGCCGTTCTCCAAAAGATCCGGTTATACAAATTGTGCCAATTACAGATTCTTGAATGTGTTATTACTGGCCACTATCTGCCTGGAAAGTTGAATGAACCACATTTGTAGGCATTGAGCAAAAAAAAAAAAAAAAAATAGAGCATTCTATTGCATGTATCTACACTTCAGTTCTGGATTTTAGACTTTCTGTTGCAACCACACAGGTTGCAATTCAGAATACATTCAAGGTAATTCAGAGGCTGAAAAGACAGACAGAATACGCTTTATACATCAGGTTTAATTTGGAAATCCAGGACAGGGGTATTCAGACTTTAGCGAATTAATGTGAAATACTGTGATTTTCACAAGAGTGTGTATTATCAATAACTTCACATGTTAAGCAAAAACATTTGATGTAACCATACAGTTCATAATTTACAATTTGGTTATTTTTTCCTAAAGTAAGTAACACTGTAAAAAGTCCCCCAAAAATCTGTGATCATGTGAACACTGGGATGGTCAAATGAGACAACCCAAAGCTTTTTAGCAACACATAATAGGAATTGTAGTTCCAGAAACTACCATTTGGCCCCTCCAATGCAATAAAGATTGTAAACGACAAAGATCGTCACAGCAAGCAGCCAGGAACCAAACATTAATGGATACCCCCCAACATTTCAGCTGGACAAAGGAAAACAGTTTAATTTTAGGGGTGTGAGGGGGTGCAGCCAGGGTCAAGGCTGTCCTGAGATATTTTAGGTGAATTTACAATTTATGCAACTAAAATGTAATTTAGAACAATAACAATGTCCCTTATTGATTTCAGAACACATTTATTGTAATTTAAAGACACATTACTGGGAGTATTATTGCGCAGGAGCTCTGTTATACACCCAGACATTACTGGGAGTATTACTGATGTGGAGCTCTGTTATAGACTCAGACATTACTGGGAGTATTATTGCCGTGGAGCTCTGTTATATACCCAGACACATTACTGGGAGTATTATTGCTGTGAAGCTCTGTTATACACTCAGACACATTACTGGGAGTATTATTGCTGTGAAGCTCTGTTATACATTCAGACACATTACTGGGAGCATTATTGCTGTGGAGCTTTGTTATACACTCAGACACATTACTGGGAGTATTATTGCTGTGGAGCTCTGTTATACACTCAGACACACATTACTGGGAATATTATTGCTGTGGAGCTCGGACACATTACTCGGAGTATTATTGCTGTGTAGCTCTGGTATACACTCAGACACATTACTGGGAGTATTATTGCTGTGGAGCTCTGTTACACACTCAGACACACATTACTGGGAATATTATTGCCGGGGAGCTCGTGTTATACACTCAGACACATTACTGGGAGTATTATTGCTGTGGAGCTCTGTTATACACTAAGACACATTACTGGGAGTATTTTTGCTGTGGAGCTTTGTTATACACTCAGACACATTACTGGGAGTATTATTGCTGTGGGCTCTGTTGTACAGTCAGACACATCACTGGGAGTATTATTGCTGTGGAGCTCTGTTATACACTCAGACACATTACTGGGAGTATTATTACTGTGGAGCTCTGTTATACACTCAGACACATTACTGGGAGTATTATTGCTGTGGGGCTCTGTTATACACACAGACACATTACTGGGAGTATTATTGCTGTGGGACTCTGTTATACACTCAGACACATTACTAGGAGTATTATTGCTGTGGGACTCTGTTATACACTCAGACACATTACTGGAGTATTATTGCTGTAGACTCTGTTATTACACTCAGACACATTACTGGGGCATTATTGCTGTGGAGCTCTGTTATACACTCAGACACATTATTGCTGTGGAGCTCTGTTACACACTCAGACACATTACTGGGAGTATTATTGCTGTGGAGCTCTGTTATACACTCAGACACATTACTGGGAGTATTATTACTGTGGAGCTTTGTTATACACTCAGACACATTACTGGGAGTATTATTACTGTGGAGCTCTGTTATACATTCAGACACATTACTGGGAGTAATATTGCTGTGGAGCTCTGTTACACACTCAGACACATTACTGGGAGTATTATTGCTGTGGAGCTCTGTTATACACTCAGACACATTACCAGGAGTATTATTACTGTGGAGCTCTGTTATACAGCCAGACACATTACTGGGAGTATTATTGCTGTGGAGCTCTGTTATACACTGAGACACATTACTGGGAGTATTATTGCTGTGGAGCTCTGTTATACACTCAGACACATTACTGGAAGTATTATTGCTCACCATTGGAGCTCTGTTATACACTCAGATACAGTACTGGGAGTATTATTGCCGTGGGGCTCTGTTATACACTCAGACACATTATTGGCAGTATTATTGCTGCAGAGCTCTGTTATACACTCACATTACTGGGAGTATTATTACTGTGGAGCTCTATTATACATGCAGACACATTACTGGGAGTATTATTGCTGCGGAGCTTTGTTATACGCTCAGACACACTACTGGGAGTATTATTGCTGTGGAGCTCTGTTATACACTCAGACACATTACTGGGAGTATTATTGCTGTGGAGCTCTGTTATACACTCACATTACTGGGAGTATTATCGCTGTGGAGCTCTGTTATACACTCAGACACATTACTGGGAGTATTATTGCTGTGGAGCTCTGTTATACACACATTACTGGGAGTATTATTGCTGTGGAGCTCTGTTATACACTCAGACACATTACTGGGAGTATTATTACTGTGGAGCTCTATTATACACGCAGACACATTACTGGGAGTATTATTGCTGCGGAGCTTTGTTATACGCTCAGACACACTACTGGTAGTATTATTGCTGCGGAGCTCTGTTATACACTCAGACACACTACTGGGAGTATTATTGCTGTGGAGCTCTGTTATACACTCAGACACATTACTGGGAGTATTATTGCTGTGGAGCTCTGTTATACACTCAGACACATTACTGGGAGTATTATTGTTGTGGAGCTCTGTTATACACTCAGACACATTACTGGGATTATTATTGCTGTGGAGCTCTGTTATACACTCAGACACATTACTGGGAGTATTATTGCTGTGGAGCTCTGTTACACACTCAGACACAGTACTGGGAGTATTATTACTGTGGGGCTCTGTTATTCACTCAGACACATTACTGGGAGTATTATTGCTGTGGAGCTCTGTTATACACTCAGACACATTACTGGGAGTATTATTACTTTGGAGCTCTGTTATACACTCAGAAACATTACTGGGAGTATTATTGCTGTGGAGCTCTGTTATACACTCAGACACATTACTGGGAGTATTATTGCTGCAGAGCTCTGTTATACACTCAGACACATTACTGGGAGTATTATTGCTGCGGAGCACTGTTATACACTCAGACACATTAATGGGAGTATTATTACTGCGGAGCTCTGTGATACACTCAGTCACATTACTGGGAGTATTATTGCTGTGGAGCTCTGTTATACTCTCAGACACATTACTGGGAGTATTATTGCTGTTGAGCTCTGTTATACCCTCAGACACATTACTGGGAGTGTTATTGCTGTGGAGCTCTGTTATACACTCAGACACATTACTGGGAGTATTATTGCTGTGGAGCTCTGTTATACACTCAGACACATTACTAGGAGTATTATTGCCGTGGAGCTCTGTTATATACTCAGACACATTACTGGGAATATTATTGCTGTGGAGCTCTGTTATACAGTCAGACACATTACTGGGAGTATTATTGCTGTGGAGCTCTGTTATACACTCAGACACATTACTGGGAGTATTATTGCTGTGGAGCTCTGTTATATACTCAGACACATTACTGGGAGTATTATTGCCGTGGAGCTCTGTTATATACTCAGACACATTACTGGGAGTATTATTGCTGTGGAGCTCTGTTATACACTTGGACACATTACTGGGAGTATTATTGCTGTGGAGCTCTGTTATACACTCAGACACATTACTGGGAGTATTATTGCTGTGGAGCTCTGTTATACACTCAGACACATTACTGGGAGTATTATTACTGTGGAGATCTGTTATACACTCAGACACATTACTGGGAGTATTATTGCTGTGGAGCTCTGTTATACACTCAGACACATTACTGAGAGCATTATTACTGTGAAGCTCTGTTATACACTCAGACACATTACTGGGAGTATTATTGCTGTGGAGCTCTGTTATATACTCAGACACATTACTGGGAGTATTATTGCTGTGGAGCTCTGTTATACACTCAGACACAGTACTGGGAGTATTATTGCTGTGGAGCTCTGTATACACTCAGACACATTACTGGGAGTATTAATACTGTGGAGCTCTGTTATACACTCAGACACATTACTGGGAGTATTATTGCTGTGGAGCTCTGTTATACACTCAGACACATTATTGGCAGTATTATTGCTGTGGGGCTCTGTTATACACTCAGACACATTACTGGAAGCATTATTGCTGTGGGGCTCTGTTATACACTCAGACACATTACAGGGAGTATTATTGCTGCGGAGCTCTGTTATACACTCAGATATGAAATATAAATACAAATAGATTAAGATTCCTGGAAAGTGTTGCTACAATCACCTTCGTGGGCCACAAACCACAAATACAATAAGTGATAATAAAAAACAAACAAAATGGTGAGAGCACTCTAAATAAATGTAAAACAATACCCAAATCAAAGTCGAATAATCTGAAAAAAAATCAGAAAAAAGAGACATAGGGTAATAGAGTCACAATGAAACAGAAAACCACTAGATAATGGTCTCACTCACATATGTTGAGCCACTTAAAAGTTGGCTCAAACTTGGTGCCTTGAACAAATAGGGAAACAGGACTTCTGTCTGGAACTTCAATCTGCTATGTCTGGTACCTCCAAATCCATTCAGGACACAGAATGTAGAGGGTTACAAGTGATTTATTGCATGATAACAGATAAAATAAATAAAAAGTAATAGGCAGAATGTCCAAACCGATAAAATAGTCCAATCTCAACGTGTTTCGGCTTTTAGCCTTCCTCAGGAGTGTCCCGTATCCTCAAGGTTTTTCTCTTTTATATTTTCACATTTCGCGCGCTTCTTGCGGTGCACTTTCGGTTCCGGCGTCAGCGTCATGACGTCAGCCCGCGTCCTTACGTCACGACGTATTCACTTCCGGTTCCTGTATACGTCCCCGGAAGGAACGTCGGGCATTTAGGGATGACTCATGACGTCCTTTTCCATACTTAAAATTTATAACATAAATAAATTACTGCATAACACATCCATAACTTTTTATTAAATCTCTTCTTTCTGTAACGAAATAAATAATCATAAATTAACATATAAACATATTACTCAACACAGTGTTATGCAGTGACCCAACCGTCCTTGCCAATAAACATACAGTGGTTCCTAATCACCACTTCCTCTCACCTCCCCCCTCGTCATAAATCATCTCTTTCCAATGCCCGCCATCAGCCGACCTTATCCACGCTCGATGGGCACGACACCTCAGGTAACCTAATGTTAACCGTTTGAAGCAGGGGAGGTTGAGACCTGCAAACATAATGAACTTACTCCATCCTTAAACATAACCCTCCAAACTTAATTGGCAAGGACATACCCCCGCCACCAGACCCGTTGATTTACCCCTAAATCAGCGGGGAACCCCACCAAAACCCTCCATGGCCTGTTCCACCGCCTCCTGTAGGGCGAGCAGGGCCGCCATCAGAAAATTTGGGGCCCATGACAAAGCACAAGGTCTG